CATTTTTTTCAAGCCCACTGCTAACAAAACTCATACGGAACAAATATATGTTTTGTTTCTTCAATACTCAGCTTTTCTAGCAAGTGACGTCTGGAATAAGAAGAGTTAAAATCCTTCTCATCTTTTATAAATTGCGCACCACATATTAACACATCTATACATATCTATAAATAATGTGGCTGTAGGAAGCTCAGAATCCTGCCCTGGTACTGCTCTATTCAGAAAGTATCAGTAGTACCTTCAGCAGTACCTGTTTTACTTAAGTGCATAATTATGGTTAATGTTTTCTTGCAATTGATAACAATTAGGAGTCTACCTCTCCTTTGCTGTCATAGGGCTACTGGACACTATTTCTGAGAGCCAAGAATAGTAAGTGGTAAAAGAAGACTGCAGATCCCACCTCAGCATAAGTAGGTGCATTTATCTTAGCAGCCAGGTAAGCTACAGAGTTTTTTATGATATCTACTACAGACCCTATATCAGTGGTACTTAACCTACATCCCATGGACTGAATCTGGACTGTAGAGCTGTGTCCTACAGTCCATGGGACTCCCCACAAGTCCAGAAATTTGGCAGGGCCGAGACAGCAGTATTTACTGCCATGGCTCTGGGCAATTAAAGCTCCCAGAGCAATTAACACTGCCACTGCTCCCTTGCTGTCAAATTTCTGGACCTGTGGGGAGCCCCATAGGCTGGATTATGTGGCCCTGGGCATATTTGCAAGAGAAATTTACTGTGGTGCTGACTAATTAGCTCTTCAGTAAAGCATCATCATCTACATTTCCGGTGCTATTAGGCTGGAGTACATGAATTAACTGCACCATAGGATAGTACCACCCAACACAAGTACTATCCTATGGTGCAGTTTACTGTGCCATAATGCACGTGTAGACACTGACCAGGGCTGGGAAGGGCACAAAGGTGCAACAGCATGGGGCTGACTGCCAGCTAGACCTGCACTGTTGTAGTCTGGTGCCTCAGCTAATCCCTCCACAGCATGTTGAGCCAGGTTGTAGTAAATGCAGCCTGGCAGGCTAACCCCCAGGGGCTCCCTGCCAGCCAGGGCTAGTCCACCCTGGCTCAACATGCTGCAATCCCAGGTACATGTGTAAATGCTGTGCCCGGGAGCAATAAACTCTGGCAAGAACTGTGTCCAAGTTTAATATATCAAATTAATTTCACTTGTAGGCTCACCCCTTTGTGCACTGGATTGTGCTGATGTGTGGCATTGAACTAGCATGAAGGACTGGGTCACAGTCAGCTCCAGTCTTCAGAGCCAACATGATGGATCACATCAGCGGTACAACACTAATCATTCAGCACATGGGGCCAGACAGGTTTAGTATCACTTCCCTAAACCTAAGGAAGAGTAAAGGTTGTACTATGTATAGTAAATCAATCTATTTCACTTTTTGCAAATTAGTAACCTCTTGTTAGAAGAGTATACGAAGTCTTTGGGTTGTGGAAAAGAGTCTTTGCTTTTTATCACTGAACAAATCTGAATTGGTTATAGTGAACACAGCACACACTGCATGGTTTAGTAAATAACATCCCAGTCAATGCTATTCTACACTCTGGGCCCACCTACACATGCCCCTGACTGCACAGTTGGTACTCTGCTCAGCTAAAGCAAGTACTAAATGACTGCACAGTACCCACTGGTACTTCACAGTCCCAATGGCGCACAGGTCATTTTCAACCCTACCGCACAGTAGCAACGAACTACTGAGCAGTAGTCGATTGCTGCTGAGCAGTAGCGGCTGCGACACTACATCGTGTCACCATAGACTCTCATGTAGATTCACCCTGTATTATGGTAGCTTGTCAGATTTAACTTTAGTTGCACCTATTTGAGTGGTGAATTATATATATATATATTAAACTTTTCTTTTATATTCCGACTTACTTAACTATTGCTTAATTTTTTGTATAGCCTCATTATTTTTTAAACTTTTCTTCCTCCTGTATCTGCATGGTCAGCCATAGCCTTGAGTTCACTCTCATATTGTTTATTTCCTATCTTATCGAAGAGAGAAAGGCAGCTTATGTTTTAACATTATCAACATAGGCATATATAATGTAAGCCTTGTTACTAGGTCAGATTAACTGAATTTAGAATTAGCCAAGAAAGTCAGAAGGATGACATGATTGGATATGTTAAAGAAGGGTGATAACAGGGGACCAATTGGATAATCCCAGTTGCAGAGACCTTGGAATTTCCAGAGCTGATGGACAGACCAAATTAAGAGTCTGAGGCATGCCCAAATTAAGACACCGATAAAAGACCAAATTAAGATGTGTGCATGTGATGGGTTTGTTGTAACAAAGGAATATGCTGGAAGGATATAGCATTCTAACAGGATGAACAATATGATGATCACAGGGAAACTAATCAATGGTACCCAGAAATGAAGAGTCATCAGAAGAGTAAAATGAAAGAAAAAGCATAAAAGGCGGGTAACAAGGAAGTTGGGTGTGTGTTGTTCTCCAACAACATTCAGACTGAAACATCACCCAGAGATGACCACCCTTTACTTTCAGGAACAGATTTGCCACCAATTCTGTAGTATAGTTACAGCTGCGATAGGATGAGACCATTGAACTGTTTTTTCTCCCTCTATATATAGAAATTATTAAGATAACATTTAATGTATTAATTAAAGTTAGATTTTAGTTAAGCTGAACTGTATGAGGCATATTCCACATTAAACTCTGGGTTGATTATGTTTTGCTTAGCACCATGGGTGTGTAACAGCGGGCATGCATCTACACACGACACTATTTTGTCTTGCTATACTGATGTAATGTCCAAGCAAAAACTGTAATCCCCAGCTATGTCGCCATAGAGACACATTATAATACATTGCTACAGCAGTATAGTGTCTAAAAATAACCGTGCGCTGTGTGCAGAGTACAGTATGGACATACTGTTATGGACTGTTACTGTGCTGTCTTTTAGTACTTCCAAAAGAAAGTACTAACTGATGGTGCAGTAACAATGGTGCAAAAGCAGCACATGTAGATGTGCCCAGTAAGTGTTAACCTGTCAAAGTAAAAAGGTTACCTGTCTATATATTTATATCTTGTTCATCACAATGGGTGATGAATTCAACAAAAAATAAAAAAAGAATTGAGTATGCTACAGAATCAGCCTGTCAAGACAAACAGTTCAAGGAGATATCACGTGAGAAGTACCTTCCATTCACTAGTAGTTTAACATATTGTAATGTGAATGTAATGTGTGTAAGAATAGGAGGAACCAGGGGGTAGCCTGTAGAGCTGTGCTGACCACTAATTTGGACCATAACTCCCTGAAACACAGGGACTGGAGGGGCAAGGGAAAAAGGAAAAGGAAGCTTGAGGCTGGAATAAGGCAAGAGAGAGCAGCGTGCAAGTAGAGTCTAGCCAGTTTTACGTAGAGCATACAGTGGAGCTGGAGATCTCACTGGCTTGGTCAGCCAGGACTGTGGACTTAAGAATCTGGACTCAGACTTAGGGGAAGCTCCAGGCAGCTGTTTCAGCACTCTAGGGACTAAAGGCTTGTTTGGAGACTCCTCCAGAGGTATGGGGGAGGAAATCAAGGTGCTAAGTATATGTTATCACAGTATTGATATTTATCTTTTACCTGTTCCCTTCCATGATGACCCTAGTGACCAGTGACAGGCCAGTGTTGATCAAGCTCTAAGAGCCCTCCCTTATGTTTTCAGCTACCATGCCTTGAGGTACTGGGTTGACCTTAGAAAAGGAAGCTGCCCAAGGGTCCTAGAGTGAGCCTCAATTTATCTTTCTTTCAGCACATTCCAGTGATCTCAATAAATCCCCCATGTCATGTGGAGCTTTCTTTACCCATATTTGCCCCCAGAACATGCATTTCCTTGTGGGCTACTCACAGCCACCAACCTCTTCTACAGCTGTGCCCATGCCTCGCAGCTGTTAACCATGACATATCTCAGTGGGGCATTCAGCTGCAATGTTCTCATGTCTTCCAGTCTCTCTACCTTTCCTAATGTCTGTCTTTCTTGGGTGATGGGCTCCTGGCCCTCATCTCTGCTCCTCTCACAATTTGAGAAATGAAAGAAGCTAAAAGTGTAATTTCTTTCATTTTGTGGAGTCTCAGAACAGCAGAGACTCCCCGTGCCTGAAGAAGGGTGACTGCACCTGAAAACTTGCCAAGAATTTTTTTTTCTAATTACTCAGTTGGTCTAATAAAAGATATCACATCTACTCAAAGAATTCTGGCTGCCTGCCTATGTCCTTAGACCAACATGGCTACAACCAAAAAACCCTGCAATCATGAAAGTGTTTTTATATATCACATACTCCCTACCTTACTTCAATTGAGATATTCAATATTTTAGTGCAACAAACATAAAATCAAATAATAATAAACAGCATATTCATATACTTCATATTCCTTCCCAGTTAGTGGTCTGAATCTGACTTATACTGAATTAGAAAAAATACTTTGCATAATGTTACAGTGTAATAAGTGTGCCAGATTCTGCCTTTTGTTTGTGCTATAGTTATTCAGAATTATGTACCCTTAGGAAACAACACTGTTTAAACCTACATTTATCGTGTGTGGAAATAAAATTAAAGGAAGTGAAATAGTACAATAACTCTGGAATAAAAATATAAAAATTTAAAAAATGAAGCTTTCCTCTGTTTTTTTTCTCTCTCTCCATTTTAAGGTTCCTAAATGATGAAAATGTGCAATGTATATTTACAAAATCATAATTCCAATAGATAATTTACAACAATCCATTATGATATTTACCCCCCCCCCCCCCCACACACACACATTTTACAGGCCAGAAAGAAGGTTTCTGTTTCTAAGGTGACAAAAGTATGAAATATTTTCAATGCCTTTCAGATCTTACCAATTCATGGTTTCTCTTATATTCTATATTTATCCTTAGAATACTTTGAAGCTAAGATATCATAGCTTCCTTTTTCCAGTATTCAGTTGTTTGAAAAGAGAGAGAGATTTAAAGGCATACCTTTTCTGGATCTATTGTTGTGATAACCCACACACAGTGTGCATTGTCTTCATACTGAACTGGGTAATTAGGTGATGTGATAATTCCACTTGGTCCACGCAGGTTGGAACCACATGTTCTAGCTAGAAGACCAACATAAAAAGTAAATTAGATTTTGCCCTGCAAAGTAAATTTGGAGAAATTATTTTCAAAATTGCTTTATTATTAATAACCTATTGTAAAATAATGAATGTTAATATATACTCTATAATAAGCTGCTTCTGAAAAAAAATAGCTAGAACCATGAAATTCCTTGAACATTGCTTGAAGTAAAAAAGGTAAAAGTACTTATCTGTAAAAACACAACAAAAAACTTATCTTTTAACAGCAAGCACCAACAAATACATATCTTTATTCTTAGGTGAATTACTAGCATTACATTATATTTTTGGAGACTTTTGTTCCAAGAAGGCCACATAGGAAAGGAAAGTGCTGTCATTGCCCACTGTGCAATACAGATGGCCCTTCATGATTGTTCTACTAGGTTCTGGGCAAGAGAGAAGAAAAGTTGGAATATGAATGTACTGCTCCATGTAACCTAGATTTTCATGGTCTCCCAGCCTCTCCACCCCCACCCCGCCAATGAGAGGGGAGTGAAAAAAAGACAGTAGCCTCAGATATGAGAGACTTGTATTTAATTCTGTGTTCCAACACAGACCTCCGCTATTCTTGGGTAAACTCAAAAATCAATTCAGGATTTTTTCAAAATTTCCTAAATGACTTGGGCACAAATAAGTCTAATTTTTGAGAGTGTCTATGATCAATTTTTTCAGAGACTCCTAAAACAGCTATGTACAGAATATTCAGTGAAACCAATGGAAGCTAGGTACCTAGGTTAAGTGGGATTTTTATACATGCCCAGGAATTTACCCTCCCAGAGAAGAGCCATAATCAGCATGCTACAGAAGCACTTTTCTCTTGCTTGTGCTTCTTCTGGCTTCATGACTCTTGCTATCCTCCTGCCTCTACCCCACCTCCACCCGCACAGCTCCTACTCCTGTTTCCAAAGTGCTTGACTTTAAGAGGAAGAGTAGAGAGTGCCCTCACATTAATTTGAGTAATAGATTAATTTTTAGTGCACTTTCCTGGGAAGTGAAATGTAGGTTTAAATCCTTGTCAGGCTGAGGAGGGCCTAAAATCTGTGCACTCTATTTCCTGGGTAACTCCTCCAAACATAAGTTATTGGTCAAAAGTAGATGACGCTTATATGTATAGGTAGTTTATAAAAATATGAATATTAGCAAGCTGTCTAAGCTTCCTGGGTTTAAAAACAGAAGTGGTCAGATTTAACTGTACCACGATAGGACTGCTATGAACAATAGTATGAAACAGAAAGAAAAACCACAGGTAGCAGTTTGGTATATGCCCACTGTACCATGAACTGTGGTTTTTTTAATTACTAAAAATAATAAATGTAGAATCATCAAGTTTTAACTATCAAAATTTTGGTCCCAGAGTCTAGTAAACGTAGTCATAAAAACTAATTGTGGCTCAATTGCCTTGAATAGCAAAAAATTAACATTTGTTGTAGCCTTGCTTACATTGTAGCATATCTTCTTCAGAATTCTAGCTACATTTTGGTTTTACCCCAAAGGGGATAAAGCTTGTTGTGCATGAGAAAATTCATTAACTTAGCCAAAAATTGCTTAATTGTCATATACATATACATATGACAAGCAATTTTTGGCTAAGTTAATGGATTTTCTTATGCTTATATATAACAAGCTTTATTCACAACAAATTTCAGCTAAGTTAATATACATATATTTGGACCCAAAGTTATCTCATGTCTCTTCCAGCCTCTCTACCTTTTCAAATCTCTGCCCTTCTTGGCAGAGGTATATTTCTAAATTAAAATGTATATGCAAATTCTATATTTAAAATTCTAGATTTTTTTTCATGTGCCTCAAGCTTTAGAAATGTGCACCTTTAAAATCAAACTACCGTGGTAATTAGAAAAGTTGTGAGTTACATTTAATTATAAAATAAAATAAGGAAATAAACTCAGGGGCAGATTGTATCTTTTAGTTACTGCTTATCATTTGAGGAAGTGATAATTTGTATCTGCAGTTTAGCTCCTGCAGCAGGCACCCAGGGGAAAGCATGTCATGCCCTTTCTCACAAGAGTGGAGTTGTATGTCTTGCCTTAGAGCCAAACAGTTCCACTATCTGATAAAGGGGGAAGAGTGGGCCAAGTGTCATGTCTTCCTGATCTTTCTGGGACAGCATACAATCTAGCTGTATATGAATTCATAAAAATAACAAAAGAGCACAGTCTGAAGTCAAAACTATGCCTGGAGGCCTGCTTAAAACCCAAGCCAATGCAAAATGCCACCGCTTACATATTAAGCAGATTCTTGTCGCAGGTGCATTATTCCAATGGTATTAAACCTACAGAAAGTACCACTATAATCTGGGACAGAAGTTCAATAAACCAGTTTAACCTAAATAAGTTAAGTCTGATACTACATCCACCAAGGTCTATCTTAAACTGGGTTTGGCCATTTTGAAAGGAGTCTATGTGCACTGAACTTCTCTTCTGTTACAGGTTTAAACTGGTTACAAAAAACTTATACCAGTGTATGTATAATTTCTGTCCTCAGCCTAGACTGGAACAGATAGTAGCCTAGATTCTTTACTATAAATAGGATTTAGCTGCAGACCAGATGTTCTTCATGACAGTTCAACAACTTTGAAAAATCACTGCCTGCATTTGTCAGCCATGATTCACATTCATTCACTTCTCAGACTCAGGGAAAAACTCCATCTTCCTCTCCCAGACTTTAGAGGATGGCATGGGCTGAGGATTGCAAATACTTATGTTTATCTTAGTTTTGTCCCAGGCAATGGACATCTATGTGGCAAAGTGTGATGAGCAGTCCTTTTTATTGCATTTTTGTTGTGTAGTTTAATGTATATGATGGGCAGCCAAAATATTGGTCCTTTGAAAGGTCAAGCAGTTTGCCTGTCTTTGTCTGTATAAATAAATAGATTTGGAAACCATCAGGAAGCTGGAGCCATTTTTAAAGAAAGGTTGTTTGCATTCTACCTTTTTATCTTGTTTATTCACAAATACATGTCAGATGCACCTGGCTTCTTAACATCTTAATTTCAACTAAAATATCAGTAACCTCTACACAATCAAAATAACCATAAAACAAACAAAAACATTCTACAGCTTCACAGACACTGTCTGTCACCTGACCCCCAAAGTGCTGCTCTCTATTTGAGGCACCCACAGCACATTGATCTTTATTTTTGGAAGCACATTTAAATAGATTATTTCCCCTTTCATTCTGAATTATGTTACTTTTAAAGGACTGCACTAGGTAAAATCTTTTTGCTGCTGATGTGGTGGAAGTAGAGAAAGCATGAGGGGGATATTTACAGATCTGCATAAGCATGGAAATAATACAGAGACCAAGTTCGATTTAAAGTGTGTTTTAAAAACAAATGTCAAGAAAGTCCAATGGGAACGTCTAACTTGTTTTAACAGAAAAAAAATCTGAAACTTCTATGTCCTATAGAAAACACTAATAAGAAGTGTGGGACTGATAAAAAATAGCAACATTGACTGTAGTTTGAAATACAACAGAAATGTTGGATTTTAAGCACTTTGAACACAGATTTCACAGAGCAGAGTAATAAAGCACTTCCTTTGGAACATATGGACTACTTGATGAATTCAGAAATGAGCACAACCTGAATGATACTGGCAAACTGTGGTAAACCAATAAAAGTGCAACAAAGAAATCAAAGGCAATATGAACATATTATACAAAAGGAATTACTGAGATTTTTATTTAGAGACAGGATTAGAGTGCAACCTATACTACCCACTAGTAACCCAGCAGTACCCTTAGGAGTCACAATTCCTGTTCTTTTCTGCTGCACTGGCCAACAAGTTGGGCTTAGGAAAGGAGTGGAACCAAGACTTTGTCAACTTTCCAACAGTCTCCAGCCAAAATTACTTCAGAAGCCAAAATGTGGGTATCCCACACATGGGTATAATTACATTCTTATTCCCTCTTCCTCTTCCACTCCCCCCACCCCCCATGGCTGCTCCCACCCACCTAAGCTCATTACTTTAAAGAAAAGCCCTGGTGCTCACTGGGTGCTACCAGGCGGGGGGAGATACCCACTGTGCCCCACTGTCCCATGCTGCATGGGGGTCTCTGCATGAGCCCCCTCAACCCCCTCCTGCTCCCCCCCGCAGCTGCCCTGCCTGCTGGGGCTCTGGTCCTTTAAGGAAAAAAAAAAGCGGAGAAAAACCCCAGGACTCCCCATGTAGCAGAGCCCCCATGTAGCAGAGGGCAGTGGGGATTGATGCTATGCCAATTGGCATATGCCATTATTGGGGATTGATGCTAATACTGGTGGCCAGCATTGACCCCATCAGCAGGAGTGATGTGTCTGGGGGCTTCTTCAGGGTTCTTTTTCTTAAAGGGCCAGAAATGGCCCATGCAGGGCACCTGTGGTGGGGCTTGGGGAGCAGGATGGGTTTTGAGGGCTCATGCAGAGCCCCCAAAGCAGCGTCGTGCAATGGGGGGCAGCAGGGATTACCCCCCACCCACCAGGACCTGCTTAGCCAGGGGTTTTTTTTTCTCCTAAAGTGCCGGGAGCTGGGGTAGGTGGGACAGCAATTGCTGAACTGGGAGAGGGGTGGGGGATGAGCTGAGTTGCTGAATCAATTCACTGTCCCCTGAATCGGCTGAATCCGAATCCGAAGCGAATACTAGCCACTTCACACAAGCCTACTGGCCACTTCATGCCAAGATAACACAGATCCATTCATTAGATCAGGGTCCTACCCCACAGCCAGCTTCCTACCCACCTGACTGTCTTGCACTTAAGCCCACAGTCTTCCAATTTTGTCATGAGAACATTGTGGGATACCAAACTGAAAGCTTTTTGGAAGTCAAGGTATATAAGGTCAACCTGCTCTCTCTTATCCAGGTGGTGAGTCACCTGATCGTAAAAGGAGATGAGGTTGGTAAGACAAGGCCTGCCTGTAAAGAAGCCTTGCTGGGCTGTCTTTCAGAATCCTACCTTCTGCAAGCCTACCACACATAGGTTCCTTAAT